GAAAGACAACGTAGGTAAATGAAGTATGATGACAGTTAAAATCTAAAATATAAAACAAAGATTCATATTCAGAATATTTTAAGGAACTGCAAATTAAAAAACTGATAAACAGCCTAACAAAAAAGTGGGTAAAAGATCCGAAAGGCATTTCACAGAGTAGGAAATCCAAATGTTTTATAAACATGTGAGAAGCAACTTGAACTAATTAGTAACCATAGAAATACAAGTTAAAAGCACGATGGGATACCATTATAAGCTGCCAAGTAGAAGACTGATGATAACAATTTGGTTAGTATCTAGGCTATGATTATGCACTAATGGTGGGTATCTTTTGGCACACTGTGGAAGCTCTTTGACACCATCTAGTAAGCTTGATGATGAACTTCTCCCCTTATTATCAACTCCACTTCTACCCAAGAGAGCAGTGGGTTTCAAACTATTTTGGTCATAACCCACATTGTCAAATGATATTTTATAAGTGGACCCAGCACTCTTTTAGAACAAAAACAAAGCGTCAACAAAGAATATCCTTACTGTTTGTGTTACGTTCTAAGATGTCCTGTTCTCTTCTGCTTAAAGACACTATCAACAGTTTCTGAAAAGGTTTGAGAACCAAGTAATGGGATCTACCATAAAAAAACTCATACACATATGCACAGGGAGATGTGAGCAAAAATGTATCTGCCTCGTTTGTCATAGTCAAAAATCCAAAGCAATTCAAATCCCACAGATAAGTGAGTCAGTAGGGAGATGACTTCATATTATAAGCAGTGAAAATGAGGTGCGGTTTATACATAAAAATGTGAATGAATCTTAGAAATATAATGTTGAATGGAAAAATCAAGTCACAGAAGTTTATAATAAAGATGATAGAATTTGTCTATAAACTCAAAGATAATGTTTATGAGAATAGCCACAACTTAGGAAGGATTACACTCTGCCAGACTGTTCTAAATTCAATACACGTGTGCACATTCATTGAAATTCACTGGCTTTGGGTCATTTTGGTTTCTCTGAGACAAAATGTATGATGCTATAATGTATATTTAAACTAGTTGTGGCAAAGTTCTTGTTGTTACATTTGCTATGCAGAAAACATAAATTATAGGTAGGAAATAATCGTGAACTCATTTTCTTTCAGAATATACACACACATATGCACATATATTTGACATATCTATATGTTTTTATACACGTAGTTATTAACATACCTGTGTATTTTTATGTAGATAGTTTAGAGTTTGCTGTTACCATAAAATACATGTGAGCCTTAGGAACTCAGGTAAATTATTGATTATGCCTTTGAATTGAACAGTCAAAATGTGACTGAAGTTTTAAAATCCTCTGTGGTCATTGCTGTAGACTGGTAAGCCCATAGATCTTTCAGACGGGAGCATGTACCGGGCTCTATCTGGGACGATCTGCAAGCACCTAAAGAAAGTTTTTGGCATTGCATGGCTGAAAGTAGTTGGTGGCAGTGCAATTAATTTGCCAATTTACTAAATAAAAAGCTGCATTAAGAATAAGGTGAATATAGCATAATATATGTAAACTTGTCAAATGACTAAGTTGTACACCTGAAACTAATGTAACACTGTGTCAACTATACTAAAAACATACATACATACATACATACATACATACATACATACATACATACATA